CAGATTTCAAAAGACGCTCAGAAAGTCATTTCTTTGCCCAGTTTAAGGATTAATAAGCTTCCCCGTGTTAGACTTCCCGCTAGCCTGCTGCTTCATTAAGGCGTCAGAACAGTGAGCTGGCACGATCAATGTCTATTACTCATCCCACCGGAGCATCGAGCAAAAAGCATGCTAATTGCATTTGTTCACACTTCTTTATAAGCGTTTTTTGGATGCAGTAGGCTGAAAGGAACCAAAAGGACACTTGCCTGTATGTTTATTAGGATAAGGAATATAAAGTATATGTGTGCCATCACACAGTCAAAACTCTTAGTAACCCCAGCTGTGTGTGCGCAGCAACATGACCTGTTTGTGGCTGTACAGCTTGTGATTGATTGATTTCTATTCTCTCTCATCATCTCTCTGGTTTTGGCCTGTGTGCAGCTTCAGCGAGCCGTAGCGGTGAAGCGGGTCGTCCAGGACGTGTTGGATCGCTCGCCCCGTCTCCAGGCCCTCACCCCGCCAAAGACCAGAGAGGTGGTTCAGTGGTGTCGACAGAGGGGTTACACGCCGCCTGACCCCGAACCCCCACAACCCAAGAACGATGACGAGTCCATCGAGGACATTCTCACTCAAATCGATAATGAGCCTGGTGAGTTTGTGCCTGTGTGGACTTGGTCTACATCTTCTACAGGAAGATCGTTTCACTCGGTCTTGTTAAAGCTCCAAGCGGATCAATATTTTCGCCTCAGTGTTGCATGTGTGGGTGTACTGTTTCTGCACCTACCAGTGGATCCAGTAATGCGTCTGCAGACCAGTTGTGTGCGAGGGCGGCCAGTGTTCAGCCTCAGTGCTTTTGTTCAGTTGCATTATTTAATTTGCTGGGAACTCTTATTAATTCCATCTTTTTGTCTCTAAAGGATGGGTGATGAGGCCGTTTAGCTCACTGAGCCAAACAACATGATAATCGGTGTTTGTGTTCTACTTGTCTCTGTCTGTGCAAACGTCTTCATTTGTAATTGTTGCATTGTTGAACTGCTAAAATGAGCAAAGATCTCACAAAAACCCTCCTTCACATGTCTAAGTTTTGCTTTACACCACACAGCCGCGTATCAAGAATCTGTAACCTGAGAGATGCACCGAAGCAGTCGCCGTTTCTGCTGATGCTGTGGCTTGTGAAATGATGTGTTAAATGAAGGGTACGTGTAAATGTTCCCGCAGAGTGCCCGTCGACCCTGAGTAGCAGCGAGGAGCTGGTGCTGCGTCTTGAGCAGATGCAAGCTCTGCTCAAGACTGAGCCAGAGGAGGCGGATGACGAAATAGTCGACATCATCACGGTGACTCCTCCCTGCCACAAGCTAAAGGTCAAAGAGGAGGAACAGGAGGCTGACCCGGAGCCCAAATTCTTCCTGGGCGCCAGCCTGTCCGATCAGTTTGTCAGTGAAGCAGCTCAGCAGGTTGGGACTCTCTCTGGGTTTGGTTTTGTTTTTTCCCCTAAGAAATGTGGAAAAAATGAAAAAATTCAATCAGTGATTTCTGATTCCTCTCCAGCTTTTAGCAGCTAACAGGAGGGCACACCACTTTCCCCCTTTTTTTATAAGATGAACACTGCCTCTTTCAGATCGGGGTAACCTTCCAGCCGGTGGAGGTGGAGAAGAATGTGTTCGCTCCAGTAATCGAAGCCATGATTCTAAAGGTTGTTCACTGTACACAAAACAGTAACTCATGAAAAATGTCAAGAAACACTTGACAAACAGTCTGAATATGAATCCTGAATGCTTGTTTCACTTAATCACTGTGTGTGTGTGTGTGTGTGTGTGTGTGTGTGTGTGTGTGTGTGTGTGTGTGTGTGTGTGTGTGTGTGTGTGTGTGTGTGTGTGTGTGTGTGTGTGTGCCTGTACGCTGTAGGCTACAGAACAGTTTGCAAGTGACATCCTGAGAGAAGCGCTGGCTGGGGCCTACGCCAAATCCCCTCCAAACAGGTCAGCCTTTTTTTCCTCTTTCCTCTCTAGCATGCGACCTGCCTTAAAGCTCCAGTTTTCACTTTATTTTTTATATTTGGGCCTTTTGCAGCCAACTGAGTTAAAATAAAAAACAAAGAGTGAAGTAAAAAAAAAAAAAACTTTTTTTTTCTTTTGATGTTTTCTAAACAAATGTTAATATAAAAGCCTGGTGGTAGCTTGTATCTTTTTTTTCACCCTTTATCACAAAAATAGCTAAAACTGTGTGTTAGATGGTGCTAGAGTGGATGGATGCTCTGTTTTTTCAGTAAAAAAACAAAACTGTGAGTCACCTTTTACCAGAGGGCGATACATTTTAAAATGAAAACATGTCTGCATGCTCACTAAACGCCACAAACCAAGGGCTGTCCCAAACTGAAAGATACCTCAGGGTGGTGTTTCTGTTCCTCTTGAAGCCATTTCTTGGTTGCATTTGTGTTTGCAGGGCACCAAGAGAGATCACAGCCATGAACATCCACCAGGCTGTCAGCAGCATCCCCACCTGCGACTTCCTCACTAATACACACATGGGTTACCTGGCTAAGGACAACTGAGGCCTCCTCTACTTGACATCGACTGGTTGCTGACAATGAGACAAATCGACCGTGTTCGTGATCACACTCGGTCCCGTTGGCTCAGGTTGCACAGCAGTAATAATGTACTGTATTCATTAAGTTGACCATTGAAGGGCTCAGTTTGCTGCTCGAGCAGCTGCGTAGCAGCAAAGTAACAAATGTTTCTAATACTCTGTAACATCTTAGTGCCGGTGCATTGAAGCTTCGTGGGGCTCGTGTTATTGGATTTAGAGAAGCGATTGTGCTCTTGCTTACCTCAAGAAAAGATTATTTTAATGATGAAGTGTTTTCTGCCAGACAGCTAGCTAGTCACTGGGAAAATGAAGCCTGAGTGACTTGCAGGGTTAAATAATAAGATCAGACAGCTGTCCCATCTCCAGTGTACTGCATCTCGCCATCACAATCACTGAATTTTTGGAACTGGCTGAGTCTTTTAGCTCAGGTGAACCACAAATTTAGCTGTTCGGAAACACACTGAGTATTTTTCTATCATTTGGGCAGAGCATACACAGCAGTTCTGCTGAAAGTGGCATGGCAACCAGCATTCAGCTTTTGATGTGTTTCACGGTTACCTGGCAGAGGTAACGTCGAGCCTTGCAAGACAAACAAGCACGCAGGAAGTGTTTTCTAAGGCCCTTCAGATGGGCTAATAGATTCATCTTTTATAGTCTGAAATTAAAGGTGGATTATGCCACAGAGACACCGATGAACTAATATGATGCAGGAGACGGTGTAGTGTGAGAATCATTGTGATTTAGAGAAACTCGCTGTTAGTATTTATCTTCTGTTCATGAACCAGCCCTGGCAGCACGCTGAAGTGTTTTTAAGCATTGTGTGTAACAGCTGTGTTGTATCTTATCATGTAATGTATAGTGTATATGACCAGTATATGAAGTGTGGTGTTTTCAGACACTGTTTATTTTTCTATCAAATCTCAGCACCTGCGATCAATTACACCCCGACAGTAGTGAGTGTGTGCGTTTGGATGTGTTTGCTGTAGTCCCCACAGAGGTCAGTGAAGTTGATGTGTGTGTCTGTGTGCGTGTTGTGCTGTTGTTTCTGTTTAATGTGCTGCTTTGTATTACGTTCATGTGTGAGAATGAGTGGATGTGTGTCGGGCTGAGTGACTCTGATGCCTGTTAAACCAAATCGTATTAGTGTAGAAGACACCTAAACATTGTATTTTCAATTTCAGTGCAAACCAAAAATATAATCAATATTCTTGTAATGAATTTTAAAAACAATTCTTGCAAACCTGGCTCGTCTTTATTTATTTTTCTTGTCTTTTTTATGTTTTTGATAAATGCAATCATACATGAACAGTGTGCTGAACCCAGGTTAGTGACACAGGTGCCTGTTACAGGCTACTTATCAAGTAAACAGCTAGTTTCTCAAATTACACACCTGTGCAAGTTTTTAAATGGTTATTAGTGAGACTAATGCAAATATGCTCAGTGTTTGTCTGGACTGTCCACAATAATATTATTTTAAAGGACTGATTTGACTCTTTTTATATACACTCTTAAAAGCCACTTTATTAGGTTCATTCTGGGTTTTACCAACTTTTTCAACGAGGTGCTGGAAACATTCCTCTGAGATTTTGGGCCATATTGACACGACAACATCACATAGTTACTGCAGGTTTGTCGGCTGTACATCCATGATGTGAATCTCCTGTTCCACCACATGTCAGAGCTGCTCTATTGGTTTGAGATGTGGTGACTGTGGAGGTCATTGAGTACAGTGAACTTCCTCGTTGAGTGTCAAACCATGTTGAGCCCACGTGATCTGTAACTTCAGTTTTCTATTCTTTGCTGACACAAGTGACACTCGGTGTGGTCTTCTGCTGCTGCCGCCCATCTACTCCAGAGTTGGATGAGTTGTACATTAGGAGATGCTCTTCTGCATACCCTAGTTGTAGTGGCTGCTTCAAGCAGTCTTGCGTTTTTCTTCTGACCTTTGACATCAAGAAGGTATTCTCATCCAGAGAACTACAGCTCACTGCATGTTTTTTCTTTTTTGGTCCAGGCTCTATAAACCCCAGAGATGGTTGTGTGGGAAAATTTCAGATCGGCAGTGTCTAAAAATACTCTTGCCAGCCTGTCTGGCACCAGCAGCATCACTAATTTTAAGTACCTTTCTTCCTTATTCTGATGCTCGATTTGAAGCTGCTCTCAGGAGGTTACCTTGAACATGTCTGCATGACTAATATGCAATGAGTGGCTGCCAAGTGATTGGCTGATTAGATATTTGAACTAACAAGCAGTTGAAAAGCTATACCTAATAAAGTGACCAGTGAGTGTAACTGCTCACTTTCTTGCTGTGAATTAGAAGTTGGGTTCAGTTCACCAGAGAGATTAACTGGCTCTTAACTGCAATCAAGAGTGAAAAGGGTAAACATGACTAACAGGGCAATGGGTGGAAGAAATACAACTGAGGAGGCATCTGAAAGTAACAACCTAGCTAATGATCTTTTATTGTCATTTATCTTACATTACTCATTTGCTCTTTTTCTTTAACAACAGATTTACAAAAAAATTGAGACCAACTAATACTTTTTCCAAACTGACAAACCAAATAGATGCTGAGGAAATAAATTATTTTCAAGCAGATTTCTAGCAACACCAAAGGGCAACACAGTAGTCTACGCGGGTAAAGGTCACTTCATCACTGGTGCACACTGTTTGTTTGTTTTTTTTTATGTTCAGTGAAAGGACCAATCAGCAGGCACACACACACACAAATTCACACACCAACACACAGAGCAGCCAGTTTCTTGTGCGTTTATGCAAAAACATCCAAAAAAAAAAAATCAACTTCATTACATGCGTGTTCATTTCCATTGCAACAGGGGCAGGAAGGAGTGTGGGGGATGGGGGGAGGAAAGAGCTGTCTAACTATCTCCATTTGGGTTGCTGAGTCCGTGGCTCCACAGCCTTCCCAACAATACATTCCCTTGCATAGATTCTTGTGTTGTGGAATGAAGTGAGGACATTTCCCGTGTCGACTCCTCAAAGCAGAATGGCAGCAGGCGTCAGATGTTGAAGACCCTCGAAGATCCGCTTTGAAAAACAGCAGAAGGGTTTGGAGGGAGTTTGGTCCTCACCAGATGTTCCTGCAAGACAGATAAAGAGTGACAGGTGTAACAGCAGTCTTCTAAAGTGGTCAGGGAAATGGGAGCGAGTGCCGCAGCTGTGATGCTCACGCCACACCCGTGAAATGAGAGGACACTGGACGGACTAAGCTGTCAAATAACATCAGGTCTTGCTGTCAGAGTGCTAGCAGTGTGGGCTGGGTTGCTTTTTTCCCTCTTTAGTGCTGATCTGTTCTGCTGATGACAGCTTCCCCCATTCCTCCCAAAAAAAGAAAATAAAATCTGGCCAGACTTTTAATCTGGGCTTCAGTGAATAAAACATGGAGACATTGACCACACTCTGTTCTCTCTAGCAATTAATAGATCTGCCTGTTATAGCGGGCCCAGACTTCTTCAGTTTCTACTTGCATATCTAGCTGAAGTGTGGCAGCTTTTTGTCGGCCAATCAGAGCACAAAATCTTTGGAGAGTCCTTCAGACTGTGGTCCCAGCTCCACTGTGAGTCTGACTATACAGCCTTGTGGGTGGCAGGGAAGGCAACACTTTTTGTTTAGCAAGTTGGATTGTTGTGTGACTGTTTTCAACCCCCAACACAATCTCTCTCTCTCTCACACACACACACACACACACACACTGTCTTCTCTGCTCTGTGCAGCAGCCAGGTCTGCCTCTCTCCTAAATTAGATTGGTGCCAAACGAGACTGCAACCCAATGCAACATTGCACTTTAACAGATAATCCATCACACACTGCTCCCCTCCCCCCACATCTCCATCACTTATCTATCACACAGTGCATCATCCCCCACCCCCCGGTCTGAGTCTCTTCCCCCTCATTCCTTTTTTTGCCTTTCCCCTGGTTTTAGTACAATCCTCACTTCTCTATATAAACAGTGCCAAGTTGGCACCGGACACTTCCTCTGTAGTCCTGAGCAGCGTGGGAACGAGGATGACGTCCAAGTGAAAGAATAGGGGGAGACAGCTTGGCAAAAATGAGGGAGGAAAGAGAAAAATAACACATGTAGAACTGTAGAAACTTAGGGCTGACTTATGGGGGCGAAGCAGGGAAATGAATGGGGTAACGCTGACTGATCAGAAAACCATCTACAACTCCGACACACAACAACTTCAGATCGCTTTCCGAGCCTGTTAGAGGAGGTGGAAAAATCAGATTCCAATGCAGGGATTTGCCATCCCCCCTGCCAAATGAGTAAATGGAGGTAACCGGAAATTTTAGGTTAGATTTTCCCAGCAGGCCATTTAATCCGCTTCATGCATTTTAAAGCCATTGACTCGACTGTGCATCTCTCTTCCTGCCATAGAAGAACGCAGCACTCTTAATACACTGTAGTCGCAAGTTATGAAGGGTTGCCAATGACCTGCAAGGGAGAGAAATCTCAGGAGGCTGCTCGCTGCCTGTGAGCTAAATGTGAAATAACCAAGGATTTGTCACAAGCGCTCCTGCCGTGGTTTTCACTCTGCGCACTGGTGGTTTTGTCTTGCTTATCCCTGACACACACTGCAGATTATACAAGCCATCCTCACAAATCTGTTTGCCTTGCGATGCAGTTGCCAGGAATGATTGCTTCCACAAACACACACACATACACACGCTGCTGCAAACTAACGGGGTGTCAGGTTTAACTGAGGTTCATTCTCTCACCTCGATGCCTCCTCTCCCCGGGATGCGTTAAATTGGGTTTGCAAGTTCAGTGAGTTCAAGATGAACGCAGCGCTCTCGTCTTTAAAAAAAGAAAAAAGCATTGCTGTTTTGTTTTTTTACGTCATGAAATCTGAGCCAGCTTTTGTCTTTCGAGACGGATTTGATCTGTTATAGGTGAGGGGAGGGGGCACAAATTGATTTAAACAGTAATGAGAGTTTTATGGCTGCCCACCTTCTTTTTCATCAGGAGCAGATTACCATCAAGTTAACCGTTACATCTTTTAATGAGCTGCCGGTCTGCCTGCTGAATGAAGATGGTTGATGGTAATGCTGATCATAAAACACCAGATATGGACAAATACCAGCTGAATACTATGACCCAGTATAATGTGTACTGGAGTGGGATGTGTAATGCTTGGTCAGACACCTCTGCAGGGGGTTAGTGAGTCAATAAATGAGTCGGCAATGAGTGGGCCATCGGTAACCGGGGTGGATTATCTAATGCCGCCAGGCTGGGCTTGTGTCACACTGACAGATTGTGGTATGCCAGACAAAGTGCATGCAACGCTGAAAGACGGCACAATAAGAATGTACAGGAAATATCTACTGCACTCTTTCTGAAGCTTGGCCCACTGGCAGCAGCACATCTCTTCTTAATGTGCCCTGAACTCTCACTCCAACTGGGCCAGTGTTATTATTAGAGTCTGTGTCCTGCCATTAACATCCCATCCCTTCAACCTCCATTAGCATCACACAGCAAAACCGAGGTATGCTGCAGCTTAACGGACCAAGCTTTGTTCAGAAAGTGATGCAAATAACTGCAAAGTCGTATCGTTCTGCTCTCGTGCACGAATTGTTTTTTTTTTTTAACCGAGTCTCTCAAACAGTTGCTAAAGTGAGAGCCACGTGTTCGTTTCACCAGAAGAGCACGTGTGCCAGATCTCCCTGAAAACCAGTCGGCTTAAGATGTTACTGGGGCAGCTGTTGTAACACAGATGAAGATCTGACCGGGTCCAGCCCACAGCTGCCCAGATCTCCAGTGGCAGATGGCACTGAGTGTTGAGGGCGGAGGAGAAGGATGGCACTAAACTTCTGGAGATTCCCCAAAAACTGTCTCCCTAAGTATCAGCTGACAGGTGACCTGAGAGAGCATGCAGGCAGCAGACTCAGTACTTTTATGTCAGATATGCACCAGTTTTATTATAGTTATTATTATTTTTAGAGAAACTAATGAAGAAGTATGATACTTTAGAAATTATATAATGGAAGCATAGTGCTGCCTGTAACACATGCAGTAGAGTAGCATCACAGAATAAGTCTTGAACCACACCACTTAACCTTAGAATTCAGGTGTTTTCAGTCACATGGCCGCACCTGTGCACCTCGGCACGCATTTGGGCTTCGCAGACATTTGTGAAAGAATGTCTCGTTCTAAAGAGCGCACTGAATTTGAGCATGGTGGAGTAATAGGACACCACCGCTGCAACAAATCAGTACTTCTCTACTAGATATTCCACCATCAGGTGTGAGTGATATTGTTGCAAAGTGGACGCATTTAGCAACCACAGCAACCCAGAGACAAAGTTTCAGATCGTGTGAAGTGCATATAGGGCTGCTGACTCAACAGCTGCACAGCTCCAAACCTTCTCTTGCATTAACATCGGCACAAAAAACTGCACACTGGGAAATTCATTGCATTGGTTTTCAAGGATAAGCAGCTCCTGTATGTGTAATGTGTAGTAACCCCAGTACTTTTGTTCATATACTATGTATGACCCAAAAAGTTTAATATTCAGTGTAACTCAAACATACTTTCTATACATGGCAATATAGAATATCAGTCAACAAATAAATATCAAATTTTCTCCCTAAAAATCTGCATTGTGCAGGCCTTATATGACCCTTGCTGAGCGTCACCTTATTATTTAGCTGTGAGTTATTCTGTATGGTTGTTGCTCAGGCAAAGCCCTATAAATCTGCAATCTGAGAGCATATGGTTATACTTGTATGTATATAATGTATATGATATCACTGGAGTTCCATTGGCTATCTAAAGAAGCACTGTGCTGTGTCATAAAGAGAAATAACCTCTTTTAATAACAGCAAAGATTAAAGGATCACACGTTTCATTGCAGCTATGATCAGCACTGATTTCTAGACAGATGTCAGTCAGTTAGCTGACTGAAATGGACTGCAGTTCAGAGAATTACACATGTAATTTGTTGTCCTCATCAACCCAGTTTTATTCAGGCCACAGTAGAGAGTGTAGCACCAGCACTGTTACCTAACACGGTACTTGGCCTGTTTTAAACAGCTGGGTCACTTTGAGCCTCTCGGGGACAGAATGCTGTATCACTTTTCTGTGATGCCCCAACATCAACAGGCCGCCGGGGAGATGAGTGAAGATGACTTTCAGGATGAGCGAGCCTGGATTTAAACGTGCAGCTCTAACAATGAACTGTGTGTGGTTTTCTTTAAACTTTAGACATAAAACATGGCTCCTTGAACTCAATGATTATGCGCCTACCTCTCCTTTGATTGTTCCACTGAGCTCAGTCCTCTCAGGCAGGATGCTCTGCTGGAGGCTGGATGGACTCTGCAATCTGTAGGCTTGAAGGGCAGTGGGGGCAGGCTGGGGGACAGCGGCAGGTTGGATGTTGGAGGCAGCGGATGGGATCACGTGTTCTCCTTGATGCAGACCCATGGACCTGCCAACCTCCCCCCTGTAGGCAGCCTGGTAGCTGGTTTCACGTGGGACGTGAGTGGCTTCTGTCCCAGGGCTGGAGTACTGAGCTGGGGGGGGTTTCCTCGCACTTTTGGCCGGTCGCACCCCCGCCCAAGGCCTGTACTCTTGCCTGGAGGTAGAGAAGTGTATTAGTAGAGTGACAAAGCTGGAGGGGGACGTCTGGAGCATGAAGTAATAACAAAGATTAAATTAATGGAGAAATTAGACAAAATAATGTGCTAGTAATCTTGAATTGGGCTTAATATATTCCATTCTTTAACAGCTGATGCAGCAAACTGCAGAATAAGAGTCCTGATGAAACATGTGGGCGTTTATCAGTATCTTGGCTGTAATGTATGAATTCAATTCCTAAAGTGTATATACTAACTCTGCCTCGGGGTCTAAATGAACCAGAGGTCATGAAAAGTATCTGAGGGGGTTATATGTTTGTTTTTTCATCTTTGAAATGTATTCACATGAATCAACCTTTTAAAAAAAATCCCATTTTAAAGGATTAAAAGCTAGAAAAGGTTGAAAAACACAGACCTCCACATACAGGGGATACAGTGCCAGCACAAATCCTACACCATACTTGCGCTGTACCATATACGAATATGAAACGTGTGAGAGAATTATTTAATGAGCCCTCGTCTCCACGCATGCTTGTTGGCTCGACCTTGGAAGTCGCTGAACTAGTAATAAATTAAAGTCTAATTAAGCATCAAAGCAGGCATGAGCACATCAGCGGCACACCCGCTGTGAACAGCGCTCGGTGCTGAAACAAGGTGAGAGAGGATCTCAGACCTGTAGGAGCTGGTTTTGCTCTCCTCCATCACCTGCTGCTCCCCCCATCTCTGCCCCTTGCCCCTCTCCTCTCTCCCCCCCCGGCTCTCCCCAGGCTGACCCTGGACGTGATAAGTATTCACCGGGCTGTCCGACACACAGTCTGCCCTGCTCCCCTCGTTATTAATCCACGGGAAATTCTCCTTCCTGGGGATGGGCCATGGTTTGAAATCCTGCTTGTACTGCGTAACACTGGGGAAAGGTACTCCCGGGGGGTGATAGTCTTCCCGGGGCTTGTAGCTGGGCTCCTTCCGTGACCTGAAAGATCCTCGGGTCCCAGTGCCATCCGCGGGCGCATGAGGGGAGCCTTTGGCACGCGTGTCCGGAGTTGGTGTGTAGTTATTGCCGGGTGCGCGCTCCGAAGCGGATACCTGCTTGGTGACGGACCGCACCTCCTGCTCGGCGATGTCCGAGTAGTTCTGGATGGTGAGCGGGACGGAGAGGTCCGATTTGTCAAACTGATTCCAGAAACGAGCCAGGCAGCAGACTCTGCTGATGCACGGCCAAGCCATACTCCCTCTAACTGCCGGAGAGGAGAACAGAAGAAGAAAGGGGGAGAAAAAGAAACAAAAAGACCTGAAAAAGAAGAGAAAAGCGATCAGAGGTTACATTCAGAGTGTCGCCCTCCCTCTTCGCTCGTTTCTGTAAAGCTAAGAGTGTATAGCGTCCAGGAGTCCATGTCACCCAGCAGAGGAGTGCCAACAGAGATGAACCGGTCTGTCGGGGACCGTCATTGAATATTCCTCTCACGTGGTCTGTGATAGTGCCTCCACTATGCAGAGGAATCTGTGGCAAATTATTCTCCGCATCTCCACAAGACGGATCCCGGCGTTTGCGCGGGTCTGACTGGACTGGACATGGTTATCTGTCTCCACTTCCTCACACGACTCCACTTCTCCAGCGAAAAGCTTGAGAATTGGCTGTTTTGCGGCTTCTCCCGTTACAAATCACTAAAATAATCGTACCTTGTTCACCGTGAGGTTACATAATGATGCAGCTTCGGTGTACGCTGCTCCACAGTGAGACTACACTGTTTACAATGATTTCTTGATGTTGTTATTTTAAGTCACGCATACACAAGTCCAACGAGCCCAGCTGGGAAATGTGAGGATGAGTGGATGGACTATTTTTTCAGATGTTTCTCAAAATGTCTCACAGTAAGTTCAGTTTAACCATGTGTTGCGTCAACCTGCTTCATAACCACTGAAGGGGAGCTAATCAAGTCACTAAATAAGACTTTCAAATGCATTTAAAGTGCACATAAAACACTTTTCTTTGCTGCCTGCAGACATTATAATGTAATATAAAGGAGACAAACGGGCCACAGAAGACAGTAGTAACATCAGTAACATCACGTTCCTGGTAAAAAACAAAAATATTAATGACGGTTGAGGTTTCAGGGTCCTGTGGAGACCCCTCTGTTCACAGCTACACAAGGACTCCGTAACATTAACAATGCCTGCGTGTACATTCTGGACTGGGTCATATAAATGGGACACACAAGTTAAAGTGATAATGACATGACTCTGTTGGCAATTATATATAATTGCAGGAGAACAAGGTGTAGTTCACTGTGAATCAATCAATCAATCAATCAATCAATCAATCAATCAATCAATCAATCAACCTAACAATTTAAACATGTAACAGAATTTTTTGATCACAAAGTTTTCCTGTTCATTAAATCAATAAAATTACATAAATTGACTGAGTTAACACGTCTCCAGTAAAATAACATGAAAAAATTCACAACTATACAGCACTTATTTAATATATAATATTATTAAATACATTTTATTCTAATTTGTAAATACATATTAAAAATGAATACAATGAGTAAAAATAAGCTGTAAAGTAATAGGTTGTGTAATTTTACATATTTGTTTGTTCATTAACTGACATGTTGCAAATTGAAGTACTGTATCAGTGTGTTAATGCTGTATTACAGAAATACTATAAGATTATTTTTAAAAGTAAAACTCATATTTTAACAAGTATAACTCTGCAAAGGCTCATATCCATTAAATATACGATTTTATGTGAAAACATATCCTAACAATCAAAGTTCAGGTGATACCATTTGTAACGGGACACTGTAAATGCAATAACATTTTCTGGGAATCCATTAAATTTAAATGAGTGATCCTTTTAAGGTAAAGATAATAGTAAAGATATCAGAAATGTTTCTATAAAGTTACACCTAAAAATGTAAAAAGTATTTTTTTTATCATCACAAAACAATAATAAATTATAAATTATAAACCCAATTACTAGTTTTGCAATAGTATTAGCACTTTTTTTTGGTTGATATATCATTTTATTACATATGGATTAAATTTCCAAAATGTTTTAGATAGAATTACATAATAAAACCCGACTAATAACAGTATACTTTTCTGTAAGTTTAAGTGTTTTACACACTTTTTATTTAACATAAAGCATACAAAAACCCACAGGATCTCTTGTAAATTAAAGCTACAAAACTATATTTTAAATAAATGTTTCTGCATTTTAGAATATGGTAAATTTGTAGTATTTAACAGTCTTGTTCAGTATGTATAATATAATATATTATATGTTATAATATATAATATAATACATATGGGACCACTATGGCTTTATGGTGAAATGATGTAGGCAGGAGCAGGTGTACATTTAACCAGAGTGGGTTCTGTTCCACTCATGCAGGACCCTTCATCTTAGTGGGCAGCATACTACATGTGCCTTTTCCACAGTCAGCCTGGATTGCAGGTTAGTACATTAGTATGTGGCACTTAGAAAATGTGAGCCCACACAAATTTGTAATATTTTTGTGGGCTCACAGTTGACTGTTTCTGACCATTTGGCTGGAGCACTATTAACATTTAGCGCTAAAGCAAGAATTTATGTAATTTCCTCCTAAAGTCAAGTGCAAGTTGCACCATTAGCCTTAATATAGAGCTGCCTGAAGCTGATGGTGTCCACAATACATATAAGACTGGTGTTAATAATCCCATGGATTGTTTCAAATGATCAGTTTGGCTTTTTCACTATGAGAAAAAAAAATGCCACTACACCCTTAATATGATGACTGTCTTTTATTTAAAAAAGAAAGAAAGAATTGCATTAATATAAAATAACTGTATTTGAAGTTATATTAGACGTTCAGAGACTGTGAGGGTTTACTCTGTTCATTTATGAATATTTGTCCATAATGGCAAAGTGGCAATAACAGTGAAAATCCTTTTCGATACTTCAGGGGTCGGCAACTCTAGGCATGCGTGCCACAGTTTGCACGCGAAGGGTTAACTGATGGCACGACCATAGCTGGACTGGCCATCCTGGGCATTTGCTCGGTGGCCCGGTGACTTTTTTTTTTTTCTTTGTAACGGTATAAACAATGAAAGGTGGTGGATTGGCCAGATGTTGGTCGGTGTGTAAAAATAACTCAGTTGTTTGGTGGTGGCTAGATTCAGTAAAATTAGCAAGTGGCGGAGGACAGCAGGTGGATGAGAGAAAGGGGAGGCAGGAGGAGGAGAGCCCTGAGGCCGGTCCGAGTGTCAGGTGAACTGCTCTTCAGGTAAGACGTTATGACCTGCAGTCTATCTGGGTCAGATATAAACCAAGTTTAGGTACTGCGGTCAAGTGTTTAACTGCAGTTTATTTTCGTTGTGCTGACTTTTTACAGTCAGTTACAATAACTGGTACTGCGTGCTAGCTAGCATGATGGAGTTTCTATACAGCTGGGTGGGTGCTGTGATGTTACTGATGTTGAACTTTATTTAATTCACAAGGTTAGTTAGTAGAGTTGCCAACCATCCCGTAAAAAGACGGAATCGTCCCGCATTCAGAGAAAATATTAGGCGTTTGGTGTTGAAAAGGGACAGTTTGTCCCGGACTTCAGCTAGAATAGAAAAAGACACAAAGCTGGAGTTATTCTGTCTTTAAGCTGCACAGCTGCCTCTTCTTCTCTCATTCTCCCCCCTCTCTCTCCTGTTTCTTCTTCAATCATGAACCTGATCAATGATCAGCTGATCGGCGTTTCTCTCTTGTTTGTTTATCCCACTTTGCGCCAGAAAGAGGAAACCAGCACATGTCACGTTAAACAACAGCTGCACGTTTAAGCTTGATCAGCTGTTGTTAGAATGTATTTAATATTACTTTGTAGTATCAGCTGATGTTTGCTGGAGCCACAGCTGTAAAAGCTGCTGTCATGATATCGGTTTGGTTATCTGGTGAGAGGGAAACATGAAGATGAAACCAGGAGATGTCCTTACTGAATCATCAGAGCTGAACAGGTGATGGAGAAACAGGTTTACCTTTAAGGTGACATGAATGAGTTGAAGGGAAGTTCTGAACTGTTTCTGAGAGACAAATAACACCAGGATCCTTTTCTAAGTAGCTGACAGCTGGTAACTGTGCAGGGGCAGATCTAGCAAAGTGTTGCCAGGGGCCCAGGTAGGGCATTAACAGGGAGAGGTGGGCACAAAGAAATACTTTCTAATTCTCATTTAAAATGTCTAGCTGTTATAAAATAATTATCTGAAGCTTACAACCATAGTTTTTATCTGACGTAAAATGTATAGAAATCATACATATAACATTGAAGCAGCTGGAATCCATAGCTGTGCGTGTTCATGGAGCTTGCATTGTCACCTGCTGGACATCACTACCTGACAAGTTTAACTGTCTTCAGAACATTGCAGAGGCCTTATTGACAGTATTTGGCTCTACATATCTGTGTGAGCAGGTTTTCTCTCACATGAGTGTCCTCAGGTAGCCGTCTGAATGCTGGACACTTGGAGATCTGTGTCTCTGAGTGGGAGACCAGAGATCAGAGTGTATTAACAAACATGCCATATTGGCCCAGTTTATTTTTCTTATCATTGTTGTGAGGAGACCATAAATAGCATTTGCATTTTCTGTTGTACAGTTCATTTGCTGATATGGAGTTCTTGTTATGGATAAAAAGTGTCTGTTTTTTGTTTCAAAATAGCTGATAACTATTCGCTGATAGCTGCCGACATCTGCGAACAAATATAATTCTATAAAGTGGTTCTATGTAGTGTGTAACCGTTGATACAGAGTGTTATTAAATTTATTGCTAATGCAATCATATGGCACACTGACTTCTGAGGAAATTTTAAATGGCACTGCTCATCAGAAAGGTTGCCTACCCCCTGTTCTAGTATCTACAGGACTACAGTTGTTTAGAGTTTAGTAATTATAAAATACAAATAAGCATAAAATTAACTGAATGGGAAGTGCTGCACTCACAGCATAAGAATTTCCCTTTTTCAGCTGTTCACAGATAAAAATGAGACCTCAGGTTTGCCCACAACAGTTTAAGAACCACTCCAGTGAGTCTGAGACAGCAAAAGAAGCTCTTGATTATGAGGATGCGGGCCATGAATTTGTTCAGGTATAGATGCCACAGACTTTACAGTGTAATTTTAAGCAAATCACCAAAACAGAGACTGAAATTGAATGAGCAGGGTTATTGGGTTTCTTTCAGCAGGTAGTAAGAAGCAAAACGTTTAAGACAGCAGTATTATACTACCATCTGCAGGGGAAAGTACAACATTACATCTGCATAATGATGTAGTAGGTGAGAGGAGCAAGGAAGACTAATCAGAATTTCCCCAAAATAACTAAAACCTAATTTCTGTTTTCTCGGTAATTACATTAAAGGCGTATGCCTTGATGTGTACCATGATTTGGTAATCAGGGTGGAATAAATAACAACAAAAAGAAGACAAATGTCACATTGTTCAGCATTCTTCCTGTTTGAAATTATTCATTTCCAGGGAAACTGTTTTGATACAAGTGCAATTTAATGATTAAAACTTTCTTGCAGATGCAATCTTTTCTCTTTGTTTTCTTTTTGGTGGGTGCGGTTAGCTGTTTGACCAACACAGACAGTGTTCACGGGCAGAGCTGATAAACAAAAGAGCTGTGACTGGGCATTATTCTTCAGTACAAATGTATTCAGCTGAGCTAACTGAGAACAGAAAGCACATAATGTAATAAGAAATGTAGCACAAAATATGAATTTGGTTTCCACCCCTGACCTTGCTTTGTGTGTCCTGTGAGGAACTTCTCTATAAATTATTGCAGTTTTGTTAATGTGATCATTCTTTCTTTAAAAGCCACCTCATCATGAAACACTAGAATTGTTTTTTATAGTTCAACATATGAGGGTTGATAAGTAATCATCATTTAATCATCATCACTCATCATCATTCAAATTAAAGTTTGAAGCGGGAAAGGAACCAAATCACTTTTGGACTCATTTTATGCTGTGCGCACACATTTTCTCTTCCTTTAGTAGTTGGTTTAATTATAGAAACCAAGACTATAGAACAAATACCAAGTAGGTCTATGCATTCTTCTTTTTCTTAATTTGAAGAACAGTTTTAACAAACCGATGACTGTATAAAAAGTTTTTCTACATTTATTGTAACAAACGCAGATCGCTTGAATGCACCGTGGATATTTGACAGATTTTACAAAGAGTACGTGAAAGCAACACGACTCTAGACACCGCACTGTTGAATTGTATCGCTCCGCCTCCTTTAAAGCGTTGACTCGTAAGAAATAGAAAAACTCAGAGACAACATTTTTCTGTTCAAGCGAATGAACGAATGATCAAATGAGGGAAGTTTAAGACGGGGCTCACTCTACTTTCTGTAGTACCAAGCTTTATTTTGATAGAAACGTGAGAGTGAAAGTGAGCTCACTCGGTCCTACGACTGTTGTTTCTGTTAACACGTGGATTCATTCCCACCCAGGAAACGGCCTTTTAAAAACATTTTTTTTACAAAGCTGCTGAAGTTAACGACAAAACGAGGGGAAAAAATAAGAAGGTAGGTAAATGACTATCATATTTTGTGCAATCTTTTGTTGTCAACTACATGAACAAACTGAACTGGCTGCGAGAGGTAGTCCGCCGCATCCACGCATGCGCTCTATCTACAGTCGCTGAATAGGTGGCGAGGGAAGTTTAAGAGTTTGTCACAACATTGAAGTAGCGTCTGTTTGTTGTGTTTATTTGGCGTTGTCTCACTACAGTGTTGCTGTCTGCCAGGTCTATGCACGACCCTGCCAAAAAGTGACTGCAAGTGTTTGTATATGTTATTTTTAATGTCTAATAAACTTGTTTACATTAGTAAATAGGCTGTAGTAAACAGGATTTATGAAGGTGTAATATATAAAATTAAAAAAAACAACAACTATTTTTCAGGTATCGTTTTGACTCTGATTTGTGTTCTGCATTATAATAAGTCCCGTTTTTTCCGAGTTAAAATATTTTTCAAAATATGTAATTCATGAGATTTTGACAGATTACAGGTCAACAAATCAGTCACAACAGTTTGAATACAAGTGTTGTGCCAAAAAGCGATTTCCTGTATTTGCCAAATGATTGTGGGAATTTAAACTTTTGTAAATTACTTGTTTGCCTATAATGTGTCAAAAAAAATATGTCAAACTCAAAAAGTAATGAAATAATTAAAGAAAAAACCTCCAGTAGCTTTTTTTTCTCTCATAAAGATGAGTCACAGTAAAAACAAATCAATTTATTTTACAGTAACCTGGGCAGTCTTAACATTTTGTATTATTTTATGTATTTTATTAGCTGATTAATTTCGCAGCCAATCATTTGGTCTGTAAATTGACAGAAAAAAACCCATGACAATGCTGAAACCACAATGAAATGGAAAAAGCACAGTGAAATGCATCACTGCACTGTAGCAAAAACAGATTTAGCGACACACAAAAGAAGTCTCGTTATAGTCTGACACAGTGTTATGCTACATATTTTTGTCATGCTCCAGAGAATATGGACTACCTGCCAGAAAACAACTCCAGGTACAAAGACGTCGCCTACTGGGATGAAAGATACACGATGGAGCAGTGCTATGACTGGTTGGGGGGTTTCTCCAAATTCCAGCACATTCTGGAAAGATTTGTAAAGAAAGAGGACTCTATATTGATACTGGGTAGGTAGTTTTCTCTATTTTTTGTATTATTTTTTACTTTTAACGTGTCCATTTGTTCGTTATTACCTCAATATGGTGTACATAGAGAAAGAAAAATGCCACATGAAATTTTTTTGTGGGAAGCGGAGCGATCGTCCTGGAGAATTAGAGGTCGGAAATCCTGATCTGAATGGCAGATCTGTGTCACATGTCGGGCCTCATCTCTCGCCCCCGCTTCTTGTCACCTCTCCGCTGTGTGCTGTCACATAAAGGGACAAATCCCTGCCAGCGTTTCTCATCAGGACTGTCGCATATCACCCTCACGGTTGTCATTACTGCCATTATAATCACTGTTATTAATTAAATCCAGCCAGGCAGCTGTTTGCATAGAAATGGAAGCGGCCTGAGTACTCTGACATGAAAAGTATTAATGCAGTTAACATGTGGCTGCATGAGAGGAAGAGAGTTTTTAAATCGGGTCCTTTACTTGGAGCTCAGTATTAACTGAAAATGGCCAATTTTCTTTAAACATCAACAACCATGATAAAACCCAGTACATCAGAAAACTGGCAAATCGTGCGGCGTCTGGGACATTTATTTTAGACAAAAAAAATCTCCAGTGTTTATAAAACGTTATATCATCACGCTGGTGTCTGTTACTGTGACTCATTTGTTATGTTGACAGAATCCTCGAAAACAATATAAACGAGCACAAACCTTCTTCTAACGGAGTAGATGATCTGATTTGATTTGCATACATTTGCATATTATTGTGCTGTGGTTCCTCACATTTACACCAAAATGTGAGAATCAAAAACGATCTAAATACACATGCTAAATGAGGATTTTCTTCCACCTGCCTTATGTCGTGTGGTGACGCAAAACCTCTGGGGTGTCCTGTGCTGTCCTCAACACCAATGCCAGCCTGTATTGCATTGTTACAGGAAATCACTATCATTCACTTAAGAGAGGGTTGGTTTTAATGTTGTGGCTGTTAGGTAGGTATATATATATATATATATATATATATATATATATATCTATATATATATTAGGAGTGCAACGATACTCGTATCGATATTGAACCGTTCAATACAGTGCTTTCGGTTCAGTACGCATATGTATCGAACAATACAAAATAAATTTTTAATTTATTTTATCAACTTTCCTTCTGACGATGCGCTCGGTGGATCTGCGCTCGACAGTGCAGCCTGGGCGGAGTAGTCCAACGCAGATTCACTGAGCGCAGGGCAAGCTAGCGAGACAGAAGTTAAGCTCTCCTTGCAACATGGACCTCCCCCACTCTCATTCAGATCTGGCGTTTGGAACTATTTTGGTTTTCATGTGACGTATGACCCTGAAGGTAAGCACGTCATTGACTAAAGTAAAACAGTATGTTGGATGTGCCACCAATGCTCAATTACATGGGTGGGAGCTAGTGTGTTAGCACAGTTAGCTCGTTAACGTGTTGGCCGTCCAGCCCCATGCATAGGCAATCGGCGGTAGCTCGTTAATGGAGATTTGCCGTGTTGTGGCGTTAACGTCATTTCAACGAGATTTACGCTGACAGCACTAGTGGGAACACAACAAATATGACTGCACATTTACACCGACATCATCCTAGTGCAAAGACAAGTGGAAGCAGACAAAAACAACAAGCAGGCATGCTACAAACTTTACCCGAGTCATTTAGACGGCCGTTAGCACATGATTATCCTTATGGGGACCTGATATGTTTAATATGCTGCTGAGAATATAGCCCAGAAGAAGCGTGTAGTATAGCTTTTATTTTGGAAAGATACATTTCTCTGTAATAAACTCTCTTTTCCAAAGATGAGTGATTCCTCAATCAGAATCAGAATCAGAATACTTTATTGATCCCTGGGGGAAATTATTTTTTGTTACAGTGCTCCATTTTAAACCAACATTAAGACAAGACAGACAATACACTAACTAAGAATAGTACAATATATACATATATATACATAGATACAGGGCTCGCAAAATCGCCTGCCCAATGTCCCGTGGCTAGCGATTTTTCCAGTCGGGCTACCAAAATCTATCTCTGCCCTGCCCGTCGGCCTATCGTGGGAAGGAAAAATATATGTCAATGCTTTTGCATTCTTTCAGAAATGTAGCTGGGTAATTATGTCATTGGCATCGGTGAGTCACTGTCAATATGTGACATATTGAAATCGCGTTTGAATTTGCGCTTGTTTTTTGCTTTCACTTTGCAATCGCGCGAACTGTGTATAGAGAGCGACAACACTGATTGGTGAGTGATGATAATTTGCGCACCAATTCCTCGACATCGTCTTATCAATCGTTAGCTTACTATGAAAACATGACAAGTGAAATCTCCCGCAGCAAGCTTAAACATGTGAGAGGCTGATCGTGCAGAGAATCGCTGAGCAAAAGTTATGTGAGTGCGTGTGTAAAAGCAGCAGGATATATATTGTAGCGGGTCAGGGCTGTTCAGGGTTCTGTTTGTACAGTTATGTTTTGTTTATGTTGCCATAGTGACGGGTGACGCCCTCTCGTTGCGACGGTGTGTCTTTCCGGGGTCAGAGGCGCCCTGTGTGTTGTTGTTGTTGCTGTGCTGTTGGCGTTGAGCAGTTAGCTAGCGGCAGTGACAGGCAATGTTCTTCTGCAGATGTCAATAAACGGCTGTGCTCCCTGGCTAGCTCACGGGAAGCAAGACCAAACGATACCTCCGTCTCCTCCTTGTCTGAGCTCGCCACATTGGTGTCAGAAGTGGGATGATGGTGGCACCCCATGTTCTGACCCGAGTGACTTTTCTCCCGCCGGTCGTGACCGGCCGGTGCGCCAAAAGAAGGCACCTTGACATTTGCAGGACTTTGTGTGGGATAATGGGGTCGTCGGGGACGACTGACCCCTTAGGTGGGGGCTATGTAGCGGGTCAGGGCTGTTCGGGGGTTCTGTTTGTACAGTTATGTTTTGTTTATGTTGCCATAGTGACGGGTGACGCCCTCTCGCTGCGACGGTGTGTCCTTCCGGGGTCAGAGGGCGCCCTGTGTGTTGTTGTTGTTGGGCGATCGTGGCTCAAGAGTTGGGAGTTCGCCTTGTAATCGGAAGGTTGCCGGTTCGAGCCCCGGCTTGGACAGTCTCGGTCGTTGTGTCCTTGGGCAAGACACTTCACCCGTTGCCTACTGGTGGTGGTCAGAGGGCCCGGTGGCGCCAGTGTCCGGCAGCCTCGCCTCTGTCAGTGCGCCCCAGGGCGGCTGTGGCTACAATGTAGCTTGCCATCACCAGTGTGTGAATGTGTGTGTGAATGGGTGGATGACTGGATATGTAAAGCGCTTTGGGGTCCTTAGGGACTAGTAAAGCGCTAGTACAGGCCTTTTACCATTTGTTGCTGTGCTGTTTCCGCGCTGAGCAGTTAGCTAGCGGCAGTGTTCTTCTGCAGTCAAAGTTTTGAGATGCTAGCCTGAAATTATGACTTGTGGATGAAAAAAAATGTTTTGTTTTTCTCAGTGGTGGAAGCAAGCTTCCATAATGAACTGAGTGCTAAATTTCAGTACTTGGACTCTTTGGTAAAAGGAAACAGGAGTAACCATCCTTCCTTTGTAAAGATATTTAGTATTTCGTATTATTTAGTGGCGAATAATCCTATCAGGTTGTGTTTAAAAACATTGCTGCAGGTCATACTAAATACTCATCTGAATAAGGTGGATTTTATGCTTTATTTTTAAGAGAAGCAATACTTGATTGTGTGGTTGGTGTGTTAAATGGATTTTGTTGGAGTAGCATTTTTGTAAGTGCCCACAAGATGTCACTGTTGTATCAAGATGAATCTACACCCCCACACCACCTGCAATACAGTTTTGTTTATGGTCCTGCTGCTCTGTCACATAAACATTTGAATAGCGAACACTGTGTTCTGGTTGTTCAGCATACACTTAAGTCAGCATAAAGAATGTGGCTGGAGAACCACTTAGCATCTGGCTATTAGAACAATTATGGTAGTGCTTTCTTGATGTTATGATATTTATTTGAAGCCAGAGAAATAATTTATGTTTGTATATATTATTTGCCCTTTTTACTGACTGAGAATACAGCTGTACGCTTTTAGTTGATGCACTAATGAATCTCTCTTACAAAGAAAGATTTTGGACAGTGTAAATACTGCAGATGAGTTTTGTTTGTTGTCTATCACCAGAATTAGTTTTAGTTAAAGTCCATCAAGCTGAAATTGCACCTTTAAAGTTGTTTGTTATCAGGCTGTTATTACTTCTGAGAGGCACAGAGGGCTGCTGTAAGCCTGGGTGATGCATGCACAGTGTGTTAGAGGGGTTTGTTGAATGTGTGTCAGGGAGAGACAGGAGCTTTCTGTTGTGTTTTCGGCAGAGCCAAACCTCCTAAAGTTGGGTACTCATTTCTCAGCAAAAGGCTTTGTAGTTTAATGGCCCCTTATTCAGATAAATTTGTTAGGCACGGAGGTTTTAGGTTGGATGCTGATGGCCTGTCGCCCTGCTAGTTAGACACTTCTTTTCTTTTTTTAAGCTATAAGTTAGAACTATAGTATTCAGCCTCATTTTGTTGGTGTGTGTCACAGCACCACCTACAGCAGAGGCGTGAGTGGGCTCTGAGGCTCTAGAGTCTGAGATATAAAATAGGTACTCTTTCCTCTTCTGCATTACACTGCACCAGGTAACACATTCTTCGTGCTGATTTAAACCCAAAGGAGAGCCATTATATCGCTTGGGAGCTCTCATGTCTCCGTGTCTGTTCTCTCGGTCTCATGCATTTTTATGACCCAGCATGTGTAGCGTCTTCTTCAACAGCACACGTGCACAGATGCTTAGCTATACAGGGAAGCCCTCATGTGTGGTAAAGATCTCTTAAATGCTCATACTGCACCGGCCACACTCATTTGTAAAGGCACTAAACCCATAGAGATTATCGGCTTCTGTAAAATGACACAAAAACCAGCGCATAACTTGTTGTAGAGGAGGGCAGACTTAAAGAGAGATTCAAAATGCCGCTGTGGTTTTTGTGTG